CCCCCTTCACCTAAAAGGGAATAACCTACACGCCTTCGTGGACTTTGATGTGGCCCAGATTCACCGCACATGTGGGCCATGAGCTCACTTAACGAACGCAGACGCTCTGCATATGAACCGCCGCAGCATGGTACTGCAATTTGATATTGGTATTTTCAGTAGGTGGTAAGACAGAGCGGGAGACTAGAAGGAGGAGAGGAGAGAAAGACATAAAGAGAAAAAGTATAAAGAAAGTTGGCATCCGAGTCTTTCCCTCTCCTCTTCTGTGCAGCTGCCAGTTCTAACCATGGGATGTTTTATCTCGGCCCACAGTGTGCCCGGACGGCTTTTACGGTCTTGACTGTGGCCAGATGTGTGAGTGCAGGAACGGTGCCCGCTGCCACCACATCACAGGAGGCTGCCTGTGCACCGCCGGCTGGGCAGGACCACACTGCATTCTGGGTAATGGAAGCCACATCATTAAAACGGGGTGTGAGGGAGGCCCTCACTGCAGCCCATCACGACATCCTCTCCTTAAACACAACTAGGATGTGTTTGTGAACAATTATCTCTATAATGAGACACTGCCAATGACTTTTTTTTTAGGGATGGGTAAGGGTGCCCTCAGGCTCACGGGGTTTAACTGAGGTCTATTCTGGATAAATGCACCCACGTGTTTGTGTGCAGCGATCAGCATTAGGGATAGCATACCTCTTTAGCAGCTACCCTATCACTGTTCTCATGCTACAGTTTCATGCCGTTGTTTTAATGGATCCAGTGAAATGCCCACTAAAGCTCTTACTCTGTCATTCGCCACTTTTACGCAAGACTTTCCTCTTGCCACAGTCATTTGTGGTCCTCACTACGAGAGCAAGAGTCAGCAGAAAGCCACTCGAATGACTTAATGATGCATCTCTGTCATTAGGGCACTTTTCCTCTCTTAGACTCCAAATGTCATCTTGGACTTTGATCATTAACTTAACAGTGTGTGTGTAAAAATGTCCTTTAGCCCTCTGATCTCATATGCAGTGGTGAGAAGTTACTAAGTACATTTAGGCAAGTACCGTACTAAAGTATTGTTTTAAAAAGAAGTTGTACTTTACTTGAATATTAACATTTTATGCCACTTAAACTTCTACTCTACGTTTCAGGGAGAAATATAGGCGTTTTACTCCATTACATTACGATACGATACAATACGATACGATACTCATTGTCCCCGTAAGGAAATTTGTTCTGGACTCCGTCCTGCAGTTCCGCATACATGTACATATACAAACATAGTAGACATTAAGAGACATACACATATCATCAGTCATACACCGCGTTACAAAAGAAATATGTTTAGTAGTTGTTACATTTTACATAAATAACATGGTTTGCTTATATTTAAAGTATCCAAACTAAACTCCACATAAAAAACTTGATAATGAATTTTAAAGAAAATATTCTGCATTAGTTTGGATTCTTTAGGTACATTTTAGCTGATAATACTTCTGTTCTTTTACCTAATTTGAACACAGTATTTTTTGACTGTGGTGTTCAGATATTAATCGGCTAACTGGCTCGTAAGTGAGGCTGTAAAACGAATGTAGTGGAGTTCAAAGTAGATTATTTGTCTGCAAATATAGTTGGGTGAAAATACACAGTATCATAATGTGGAAATACCTTCATGTTCTACCTAAGTACAGTACTTGAGTAAATGCCCCTGCTGCTCCCCTGTTTGCCTTATTTGTTGCATTTAAAGTGAATAATGAGTGTGTGTGTCTCTGTGTTTCTGTGTGTGTGTGTAGCGTGTCCGGAGGGTACTTTTGGGGAGCGGTGCAGTCACACCTGTGAGTGTGAGCGGGGGTCCAGGTGTGACCACGTCAGCGGGGGGTGCAGCTGTGCGGCCGGCATGACCGGAGTCCGCTGCCAACTGCGTGAGTTTCATCCTCAGCTGATCATCGCTCAGCGGTGTATCACTCAGCTGATCATCACCCATCTGTGTATCACTCAGCTGTGTATCACTCAGCATGACACAGCATCTCAGAAATATGGACAGCTGTCTTCTTAATGCAATACCAGCGGGTTTGATATTTTAGCCACAAATCACTTTAAATCACAACTTTCCATGTTACAAAGCACGCTGATGTGTTTTGGCTGCCAACAAGGTAACACTCAGCAGTGTAAAGTAATAAAGTACATTTACTTGTGTATTGTACATAAGTACACTTTGATGTACTTCACCTGAGTATGTTAAGTTACTTCATTACATTTTAGAAGATATTTTTGGAGTTTTTACTTCTCTACATTTCTCTGACAGCTTTAGTTACTTTACAGATTCTGATTATTAGCAAATACAAATTACTATTAAACTAACAATCAAACTAATGTGTGTGTGTGTGTGTGTGTGTGTGTGTGTGTGTGTGTGTGTGTGTGTGTGTGTGTGTGTGTGTGTGTGTGTGTGTGTGT